TAGCATGATGTCTTCTTTTTTTACAAACCTTCTTCCTTCATTTTTGTGTAAGGAATCACTACTATGCAGGCAGCCTTGAATTGTGGTTCGCCACAAGCCCATCTTAAAGGAGCTCAAAGGCAAATCAACATTTCTACTCTTTTGTAACATGATTAAAAGTTCAAAAACATAAAGCATTCATTGTAAAAGAAGTTTTTTTGGCTTGAATATAATTCAATACAAAAAAAAAAGGTAACGGATTTAGTTCCTCGAATTACGATAAATTAATCAAATCCATAATACTCTCTAGTGAGGAGAGGCGTTTGGATTTAATCGATGTGAACACTTTGTACCAAAGATTCTCTTCATCCTGATCCATGAGTCCCACCACACAAGACCACGACGGCTTCAACAGATAAAAGTATCGCCTTGTATCGCACCAATCAGGCATCAAACCCACGACCCCCCACTTGTTCGCCCTAAAGTCGTAGCCATAAACCACATGGCGTCCAATGCCCTTCATCGTCCTCACCGCCAAACATCTTCCATCGAACGCCACCACGTCCCATGACAACGTCACACTCTCATGCACCGCCTCGTTCCTGATCCGTTTCGCGAGGATCCACTTAGGATCGGTGAGGATACCCTCCAAGACAAAAACGTCAATCACTTCCTTTGTCGCCGCTATCATTGTCAGCCGGTTATCGCCAGAACCGAACAAAAGTTTCGTATCCGGTTCGCGGTTGAATTTGACCGGAATCAACCGCGCTTGCTCGGTCTCGGGATTGAAAGCTAAGATGCTGTAGTCCTCTCTCAGCCAGTAAAGAGCTCCGTCTTCTTCCAAGTAGACAGGTTTCATATCCTTCATGAGATCGCTTGAGGGGCAAGTAAAGGTGGTTGTCGATAATCTCCATGCATTTCCAGCGTAAATCTCGAATCCATACGTCGTTTCGTATGGAATTGGATAATCGTAGTGAGCCTCTGCGCGGACGAGTTTGAATCTCTGAGTGTTTTCATCGATTTGATCAACGAGGAAACCGATGCACTTTCTATACGCCCTGTCAAAGAGATCCAGGAAGCGAAACTTCTTCGTGAGGGGATTCACGACGCAGTAAAACCCCCCGACGACGAGCAGGAGAAGACTGGAGCAGTGACCGAGAATGCGACACTTGGTCTCTAAGTTAGCTTCGGGTAGGAATGCCCTAGGATCGCCGGAAGGGTGGAAGCAGAGTGATGCGGAGGCATCTCTGGAGATGTGAAGCAAACTGGATCCAACCCGAGACAAGTATTTTGCTTTGAAAATTGGGTCGTTGCATATACGAGCTTCGAATGATTTGTTTGTGCATCGCATCTTCCCCAAAGATTTGGGGGTTGATCTGAAGAGAATCTCGTCGACGAGATCCATAGGTAATCTGTTCATGGTTGGAGATTATATTTTTGTCTAGTGACTTTTGATGAGATAATGTTTTACTTGAGTGTTTGTGGTCAGTGTGTTAACTTATTATATAGACTTGAATGAGTTTAACCTGGACGTTAACACTGAAAGATTCTTAATTCAATGGACTCTGTGATTAAGCTGGATATGCACAACGTCAGCCTGACGTGTAAGAATAATTCTTATCCACCAGATTGTTATACGTGTCATGGTTAATTAAGGTTATGATATATGTATCTTATTAATAATAAAGCTGGATATGCACAAACATGTACAAACGTAAACCTGACGTGTAAGAATAATTTTTATTCACCAGATTGTGACACATATAAAATCTTTCTTAATTCTTTTTAGAAAATACAACATGTATGATAGTTAACATATTTACAGTTTAAAAAAATTTCAGATTCATAAAAATAAAAAACTAAAAAATATAAAATAAGTTTTTAAGAACATTCGAAGTGACAAATTTTTATCCACCAGATTGTTATACATGTCATTGTTAATTAAGATCGTGACATATATAAAATCTTTCTCCAAAAGAAAAGTTTAACGCTTCTTCAGTGGCTATAGTAGTAGTTTTTGTTTGTCAAAATGCCATGGAGATCTGAGTTGGTGAGAGTATTGGTTAGTGTTTTTAGGTTACACGTTGTTTGGGCAAAATTTAACCGGTTCGCAAGTACAATAAACGGAATGACGCAGGAGAAGATATCTTATTAATCAATTGAATATCGAGCTACAACAAGTCAATATCAAAGATTAAACTAAGAGAATCTCGTCTGTCGCTCGTCGTAGATCGTAGTTCGTCGTATCTAGGTTGTTCGTCGCTTGCTCGTCGAGAGGCGAAGAACAAGTAGCTATTAGGGTTTTTGTGTGTTTTTCTTGTGTATATGTCTCTCGGTTCTAGGACCTCCTATTTATAGGTGTTTGTCGGTCCTAGTCCTTATCGAGTTGGGCTTTGACGTCGATCATAACTTTCTATTTCCCACGTCGGTCGTGATTCCTAATTTCCTTAGAAGTGCGCGTCGGTCCTTTATGCAACTCCAATAGATTTAGGAAATTGTATAAACCATTGGTTACTGCTAAACCATTAGTTAACATCGTTGGTCGCTGCTTTGTCATGCCGGTGTCAATGCCATTTAGACAATAAGAGATAGGATCCACCGGTTGTCGTGGCCGTCGGTCGACGACATTTCCAGCTTATAGCAGATTAAGAGGAGGGAGAGGTTAGTGAATTTATTTCACCCAACAACTTGCCCCCTACTCTTCAATTTCTCATTGAGAACTTGTAGAGTAACATCTCTTACAAAATCGTCGGTCGATGCTCGATAATATCATATGTGACTGTGGGTCATTTACCAATGTCGATGTAGAAAACTAAAAAGAAATTCATGCTTCGGTCTTTCGAAGCCAATCTACCAAAAGGTATATACCGTCAAGTGGTATGGTTCCTTTTGAATTATCCACAAGTGTGGACGTGCCCACAGAGTGACAGACTTAAAAGAAATAAATCGAATAGCAAAATGGAAAGTCATACCTATATGCTCATTTGTCTGTCGCACGCAAGTAAGAAGATAAGTGTTGAATAAAAATATCCAACAAAACAAAAAAGACGTTCATGCCGGTCGGTCGGTCGTGCTTTCAAGTATCCACATGGGATTAATAAAAAATGGAGATGGACAAGTGCTTTGCTTATTCTTCTTTTGATATGTTTTCCACGTGGGTTTTAACATATGCAGCCAAATTGCATTTCTTAATCAATTTCAGAATCAGCTAGGCCCAATACAGAACCATTCACTTAAGCCCATCGCATGTCTTTCTCCAATTTGGTTAATTAGTCTAGTCGTCTTTTCCATCTCGGGAACGAAAGCGGCAGCCATTGGTAAGCTCCTTCCTCCATTTCTCTCTTGCTCCTTTCGGATTTTTATTTCACTCGACAGTGAATTTTCTCTTTTCTTCTTTCTTTACTCAAATTGAGCGTCGTTCGACCACTCATCTTATGTGTTCCTTTTCTCAGGTCAATCTTTTCTGATTAGTTGGGGGCTATTCTTCGACAACCGCTGCTGCTTTCACACTATTTCATTGGTGAGTTCAAACAGCCTCTCTCCCTCTTCTCGTTTAGGTCGAGTTAGATGGCGAGTAGCTCTAGTAGGTTAGGGAACTCTGTTGGCTTAGATTCTTACTCGAGTGACGGTGAAAGTGAGTTCGACGATGAGTCTGCCCCCGACTCCGGAAGTGAACACGACATCGACTGCGATTCTCCGGTTTACATGTATCAAGAGTCACCGACGAGGGGTAGATTCGGGTTCCATCGATGTCGTTCTGTCTCGGATAAGGCTATTGTGTCAGTAGGACATACCGAATCTGACTTTCAATACCCCTTTCACATGAGTGAGCCAGTTTTGATGCCCGGAGTTAAGATTAGACCGAAGCGCGGATGTGCAGTTCGTCTGTCGACTCCATTTCGTGATTACCCAGCCTCATCAATTAAAGAGGATGATATTAAGGCGCTGAGAATGACGTATAGCCTCCCAGATTCATTGTCGCTTAGAGCTCCCCTTGACACAGAGAGGGCGCATAACTCAAGATCAGATGAGATCGTGGTTTATGAGGCTTATTTTGACATAGGTTTTCGTGGGATAATGCCCCCTATAATCGCCAATGTCGCTCGGTTTTTCAACATTTCTCCTGGACAGCTTATTCCTACTGCTTGGAGAGTGTTAATCGCTTTACAAGTCCTTGGAGAGTTCAACAATGTAGACGTGAGGGTGGAGGAAGTGCTTTTTTCTTATTTCTTCAAGGCTCATAACGTGGATGCTAGTAGGTGTACGATTAGCAAACGTACGACGTCGTTTCCACCTTTGGTCTATGACTATGATAGAGGCGCAGTGAGGAATTTGCCTTATGAGAAGAAATGGCAGAGTAGATTCTTGTTTATGAAAGTGGGCTTTAACCCCAACTTCCCTGTTGATTGGTTTTTTAGAGGTAGATAGCCGCTTGTACTTCATCTTATGTCGCTGTCCATGATCTTTAACAATGTTGTTCTTTCTTTTTGCAGATTTCAGTCATCCAAGGTGCGAAGAAGGAGAAGAACGTGCACTCAAGCTAATTGTACGTCCTAAGCCGGAGCGTTTAGTGAGTTTCCTAGTCAGTTGCTTCGCTTTGGAGAAGAGTTCTCTTTGGGGTAACTTCATTCCTTCTGTTTTTCGGAGATCACTTTTATCAATATTACATGTCTGTCGCACCGCGCCTTATCGCCATTGACCACGTTTTGCAGGTTACAGGATGTCTGCGTTTGATGTATCGACAGGCGGAGGTGCCCTAGCTGCGTTCCGAGCTGCTTACGAAGATGACATGGAGGACGATCTCACGATCGTAACCACAGAGATCCCGCCCAGCTCCAATGCTTTGCCGAAGCAAGTTGCTGCACCGACTGACAATCTTCGTCCTTCTCGTGCCTCAAAGAGAAAAACTTCCACCGGTGATCTCTTCTCCAATGTCGATCACTCCGATGTGCTTGCCGATCTCAACAAGAAAGCTTTTCCTCGAGATGTGGAGAGCTTCGGCAAACTCGGCCATGCTGCTGTCCTTGACGAGTCACAAGTTTACCTTCTCAAGGTTATAATTTATTCTTTTTCACAACTTTTGTACGTCGTTCCCTTGCGAGTTGCTCCTTTGAACGTCGATTTTTCTCGGTATCTAGGTGATGTCTGCCTGCCATTCTTCGAAGGTGGAGCTCGCCGCCGTCTCCAAGGATAACAAGCGTCTCAACAACATCCTCACCAAGGCGAAAGCGGACCTCGTCTCAGGGAAGGAGCGATATGACACTGACATGGCTAAGAAAGATGGAGAGATTCTTTCACTGAAGACTGACCATGATCAGCAGATAGCGGCTTTGAAATCCGCAGAGAACAAGCTACGACTTGACCTTCGTCGCTCAGAGAAGAACGCACTTAAAGCAGCTAGCGCAGGAGCCATCAAGAGGCAGTGGGCAATGGTTAGAGACCTCAAGATGGGTCAAGCTCATACATGGGACGTTCGTGCTGCAGAGGAGGCCTATCGTGAGGTTTTGACAGCGGAAGCCAAAGCGGAAGGGAAGGTACCACCCGTTTTCTCTGCGACATTTACTGACTTTGAGAACGAAGCTCCTACTGGTGGGATACTTGGTGGTGATACTTATGGTGGTCTTCCCCTTGGTGGTGATCAGTGATCTCGCGTTTGTCGTTTATCGTTTCTACTAGCAGTTTCCTTGAACTCTGGTTTTTAGTATTGTTTCAAACTTTTCTTTTGGAGCTCCTCTGTTTAAGGTTTGTTGCTCTGACGAGTGACCATGTAGGCTCTCAGCTAAACTTTTGTGGTTGTCTTTTGGATTTTAAGTCGCTTATCGAACGCCTTAATCATTTGGTATTTAACCATTGTTGATTTTTTATATAATTGTGTTTTATATATTCAACAGTTATTTATATGTGTACGTACGTAACGTTATTTTCCTTTGGGCTATATCCTTATTCTCGAGGTTAAGAGTGACAATAGTCTCTCTACTCGATTTGAGGATGTTTTGCTCTTGGCTGTTGGTGACATTTAGCGCCAATGGAGTAAACCAAGGCTGCTGGTTGTCGCTCTCTCGAGGATATCGTACCTCGTGTTTGACCATATCGACACAGACGGTGCGCAATATAACCAAATTCAGTATAAGAAGCTTTAAACGTGAATAATATTGCTATGCGCATGTCACTGTTTTCTGCTTTCGAGGAGGGCGTTCTCCTTCCTATCGTGCAGAACTTTCGTTCGTTCCTTGGTGTGTTCAAGGACATGACACTTGCCTTTTGCAATGTGGTCTAAGGTCGATTTATTCCTGAGGCATTGCCCCCTCTTTTTTTTTATCTTTTTTTTGGTCGGTCGTCACTGTGTTCCGACTGTCGCTTATCTTTCTTATGCCTTATGACGAGTGACAACACGAGTTACATCATAGTAGAATCAATTTGTAGAAAACTTCTTATTAGAAAGCTTGTCCGTAGACATAAGCAAATACATAAAAGTAGATAAAAGCATCGACGTCACATGGATCGTCTAAAAACTCAGTAACACCAAATCAAAACCAAAGAAAAAGCCAAAACATCAAATTATCAAACGAACCTAGAATTGGTAGGTTTTGAGGTGCAAAGCATTCCAGCTGTTAGGTTGATTCTTCCCATCCTTATCTTGTAGCTTGTATGCACCTGATCCTCGCACTTCTGTTATCTTGTAGGGACCTTCCCAAGTCGGCCCCAGTTTTCCAGCACCACGTTCCATCGTGTTTTGAAAGACGCGCCTGAGTACCCATTCGCCAACTTGGAAAGTCCTAGTTCGCACGTTTTTGTTGTATCGTCTTGCGATGTCCTGTTGGTAGCACCAGTTTTGAATCCTTGCAGTTTCCCTTTTCTCATCGAGTAGGTCGAGGTCGAGCTTCATCAGCTCCTCGTTTTCTTGGTATTGTAGATGCTCTGTTCGTATCGTTTTCACAGTGACTTCAGATGGCACTACCGCTTCCATCCCGTACACTAGAGAATAAGGTGTTTCCCCAGTTGCTATTTTGGATGTCGTTCGATAAGCCCACAACACGCCAGGGAGCTCTTCTACCCACTTGCCTTTTGCGCTTTCAAGCCGTTTCTTCAACATCTGTATAATGGTTTTGTTTGAAGATTCAGCTTGTCCGTTGGATTGTGGGTGCCTGGGTGTCGCGAAGCTAAGCTTTATTCCCCACGTGATACAGTAGTTTTTGAAGTTGTTGCTCGTAAATTGAGGGCCATTGTCAGTGACAATCTCTTGAGGAACTCCAAATTTGCATATGATGTTCCTCCATATGAAACCTCTGACTTCTTTATCTGTGACTTGACTAAATGCCTCTGCTTCCACCCACTTAGAAAAGTAATCAGTCATTACCAAGAGAAACACCTTTTGTGCTGGCGCTGTTGGTAGTTTTCCCACTATGTCCATGCCCCATTTCATGAATGGCCATGACGAACTTATGCTTTTCAAATTCTCTGGAGGTAGTTTCGACACTTGAGCATGTCTCTGACACTTGTCACATTGACGAGCGAATCTTGTCGCGTCATTCGACATCGTCGGCCAATAGTATCCGGCTCTCACCGCTCTTAATACTAGACTTCGTCCACCTGAGTGAGATCCACATTCTCCATGATGCAACTCCATTAGAACTTGCCTTGCTTCTTCTGGAGTAATGCACCTTAAGTAAGGACTAGAGAACGACCTGCGGTACAACTTATCTTCATATAGGCAGAAGCGTGCTGCCTGTTGTTTTATTTTCCTGCATTCCCTACGATTAGATGGTAGTAGGTCGTCTCTTAGGTAGTTGATGATAGGTGTCATCCAATTCGGAGCGACATCCGCTGATGCAACTTCTAGATTTGGTAAATCCTTGTCTGTGGCCGGCCACTGCAAGATTAATAGTGGAATGCTAGTCGAAACTTCAGTTTTAAGGGCTGATCCAAGATTGGCAAGAGCATCCGCATGACAATTTTCCTCTCTTGGAATCTGTGCGAGTTTGCAATCGTCGAATTTTTCCACAATCGTCTTTGCTACGTTCATATACCGCGTCATCTTCGAATCTCGTGCTTGGTAATCTCCTTGCATCTGGTTAACTATGAGTTGTGAGTCGCTGTACACTTCTAGATTTCTAGCTCCAAGATCATGAGCCAGCGTCAGTCCTGCTATCAATGCCTCATACTCCGCTTCATTGTTAGTGGCTCGAAAGTTGCACCTAACTGCTCTTGATGCAAGTTCCCCTGTCGGAGAAGTTATAACCATCCCAAGGCATGTACCTCGTATGTTGCTGGACCCATCGACATACAGCTTCCAAATTCCCTTGTGAGATCCTTCTTGTAAGGTTTTCACCTCTTCCTCCACTTCAGGAATCAAATTGGGGGTGAATTCCGCCACAAAATCCGCAAGCACCTGTGATTTGATGGCGATAGTCGGTCGGTATATGACGTCGTATTCGCCAAGTTCAACTGCCCACTTTGCTAATCTTCCTGATACTTCTGGTTTATGTAAAACCGCCTTTATGGGAGCTGAGCTGACAAGCACAATAGGATGAGCTTGGAAGTAGGGACGTAGCTTCCTCGCTGCTGTTATCAACGCTAAGGCCAATTTCTCCAATTGACTGTACCTCGTTTCTGCGTCTAGGAGCGACTTGCTGACGTAGTAAACAGGGTACTGTTTATTTTCCTCTTCTCGAACCAGAACAGCACTGACGGCGTGGTCCGACACTGCCAGGTACAATAACAGCACTTCTCCATCTTTTGGTTTAGATAAAAGAGGGGGTGATGTTAGGTAGTTCTTCAGTTCCTTCAATGCTTTCTCGCACTTATCATCCCACATGAAGTCCTTCGGTTTTCTCAGAGCAGCAAAGAAGGTATGAGATCTGTCGGACAGTCTTGAGATGAATCTGCTCAAAGCAGCCATTCTTCCGGTTAGTTTCTGTACCTCTTTCACATTTTTCGGCGAAGGGATAACTTGTATCGCTCTTATCTGGTCTGGGTTCGCTTCGATCCCTCGGTGAGTGACAATATAACCAAGGAACTTCCCAGAGCTTACACCGAATGAACACTTCGTAGGATTTAGCTTCATGTTGTACTTTCGCAAGGTAGCAAAGGCTTGTTGCAAGTGCATGATATGATCCTCTGCCACCAACGACTTCACAAGCATGTCGTCAATGTACACCTCCATAGTATAACCAATTTGATCAGCGAACATCATATTGACGAGCCTCTGGTAGGTCGATCCAGCGTTCTTCAATCCAAATGGCATTACTTTATAACAGTATATGCCTCGTGAGGTCATGAAAGACGTCTTCTCCTGGTCGCTAGGGTGCATCAAGATCTGATTGTACCCACTGAAGGCATCCATGAAACTCATCAGCTCGTGACCTGCGGTAGCATCCACTAGTTTGTCGATGTGTGGTAACGGAAAAGGGTCTTTCGGACATGCCTTATTGAGATCAGTAAAATCGATGCACACTCTCCATTTTCCATTCTTTTTTCGAACGACCACAACGTTAGCTAACCATTCAGGATAGCGTACTTCTCGAATGAATCCCGCCTCAAGTAGGTTCTCCACTTCTTTGTTGATGATCAAATCACGTTCGGGAGCAAACTTCCTTCGTTTTTGTCTTACTGGCTGATGTTCAGGATCGACTTGTAGTTTGTGCATAATGATCTCAGGATCGATCCCCGGCATGTCGGCATGTGACCAAGCAAAGCAGTCAGCATTGGATCTTAGAAAATCAATGAGTCTTCGTCGTACGTCGGTCGGTAGCTTGGATCCGATATTGACCTTCTTATCCGGATCGTCTTTAGTTAATGGTACCTCGTCAAGTTGTTCTACCTCTGGTTCCTCGGTATGGGGGATCGACGGCTTGCTCTCTAGCTGATATAGTTGATGGCTTTTCCCTTTTAAGGACGTCTGATAGCACGAGCGTGAGTGTTCTTGTTCACCCTTGATCTCTCTTATTCCCCAAGGAGTAGGAAATTTTATGGTTTGATGGAGTGTCGATGGCACTGCCCCCATGTCATGAATCCATGGACGTCCCATAATTGCGTTGTACGCAGTAGCACAATCTAGTATCATAAACTTTGTCTGTCGGTTAATTCCTCCTGCATACACAGGCAGCATCACTTCTCCAACAGTTTGCTTCACTTCACCGCTAAATCCCACCAATGGTGTAGATTTTCGCGTCAGTGCTCTCATCTAGCCCTAATCCTTGTAAGCATCCATGAAGAGATATTGGTCGAGCTCCCATTATCAACGAGTGTTCGCTTCACCAAGCTATTAGCAACAGTCAAAGATATGACTAGTGCATCATGATGTGGGGCTATCACATTCATGTCTTCGTCGAATCAAAGCTGATGGAGCACCTAGACAGTTGTTCGTCCATGGCTTTAACATCTCCATGTCCATGGTTACTTCTAGCTGTTCTAGTGCTCCTCCTAGCGGCCGAATGGGTTATTCCACTAATCTCCGAACCTCCTGAAATCACGTGATGATTCGATCATGCTCGGGAGATTGGGGGCTGGTTTTCTTTGCTCTTTCGTCGTTCCTGTCGTCGATGCGATTCTTAGCCCTGTCAGAGAGAAATTCTCTCAAGTGACCTTTTTTTAGTAGCTCGTTTACTTCCATTCTCAGTGATGCAATCTTCTGTTCGATGACCATGGTCATTAGTGAAAGTCGCACCACTTTGATGTGTTCTTCGTTCCCCTGGTGCTTTCATCTTTTGAGGCCATCTTACTCCAGATATATGATTAAGAACATTGACTAGTTCTGAGAGATCGAGGTTGCTCATGTCTGGCCATGTGGATGATGAGCGTTGGTCGCTCTCAATTTGGTTGAGTGGTCGATGGTGCTACTCTTATAGTCGCTTCTCTTGCTAGTGCTTTCACTGCGTGGTCTCTGGTACGGTCTGTCATCTCGAGAGGGACGCTCGTTCCTAATGACGCGTGAATCAGATCGTGGGGAAAGTAGGTGTCGATATGCAGGTCTTCCTCCCACCTTATTTGAGCCCATGCTCTAGACACATCTTCCATCGTTCTGCACTGGTACTTCGTCAGTTCCTTGTACAAATCACTGTCTGGGAGCAATCCTCTTTTGAATGCAGAGATAGCAGTGGACGTGACACATGCCGGAATGGATACTTTCTCTTTGTTGAAGCGACCTACGTAATCGCGCAACGGTTCTCCTCTCTTCTGTATCACTTCATAGAGATCGTCGGCTGTCCTTTCTATGTTCCTGCTGCTCGCGAATTGCTCAACAAAGCGGTCTGTCAATGACGCGAACGAGTCGATTGACGCGTTCGGTAGGTTCGTAAACCACTGAAGAGCTGGTCCCGTGAGGCTAGATCCAAATCCTTTACACATACTAGCTTCGCGATATTCTTTTGCTATTGCCGTTGTGAACATGCGTTGCTTGTACTGGGCTATATGATTATCAGGGTCGGTCGTCCCGTCGTACATCTTCATTGAAGGGACGATGAACTTCTTTGGCATCTCAACCAACGCGATGGCATCCGTGAAGGGAGTGTCTGCATAGCAATTAGGAGCACTTTTGGTGATTGGAGGAGCTACTCCTGGAAGTCGCGCGAGCAAGAGCTCCATAGCCTCCAATCGCTTTGAGAACATAGTATGTGAGTCTTCAGATTGATGTTCCATCGTTGGTGCAAGGGGTGGAACCAATGTTTGGTTACCTTGCGCAGCGTCGGTAGCTCCTGTTCCTAGGGCTGCTCCTGTTGCACCCGTAAGTGGTGGAGTGTCGAACGATTGCATAGGAGGGAACCGGTGCTCGATATCTATTGCGAGCCTGAACCAATGACGCGTTTTCTGCTCGTAGGGTTGCGTTCTCCGCCTGGATTTGCGCAAGTCGTTCTTCGTTCTGCTTCATCTGAGCTGTGAGAGCCTCCAGCTGAGCAACGGTGACGGTCGGTGTTTCGGTCGGTGTGGTATCATCTCCCGCCGCCATGTCTCACGCAGTTAAAATTGCCCCTCCTTCTAGCGCCAAACTGTTTGGGCAAAATTTAACCGGTTCGCAAGTACAATAAACGGAATGACGCAGGAGAAGATATCTTATTAATCAATTGAATATCGAGCTACAACAAGTCAATATCAAAGATTAAACTAAGAGAATCTCGTCTGTCGCTCGTCGTAGATCGTAGTTCGTCGTATCTAGGTTGTTCGTCGCTTGCTCGTCGAGAGGCGAAGAACAAGTAGCTATTAGGGTTTTTGTGTGTTTTTCTGAATGTGTCTCTGTCTAGGACCTCTTATTTATAGGTGTTTGTCGGTCCTAGTCCTTATCGAGTTGGGCTTTGACGTCGATCGTAACTTTCTATTTCCCACGTCGGTCGTCATTCCTAATTTCCTTAGAAGTGCGCGTCGGTCCTTTATGCAACTCCAATAGATTTAGGAAATTGTATAAACCATTGGTTACTGCTAAACCATTAGTTAACATCGTTGGTCGCTGCCTTGTCATGCCGGTGTCAATGCCATTTAGACAATAAGAGATAGGATCCACCGGTTGTCGTGGCCGTCGGTCGACGACATTTCCAGCTTATAGCAGATTAGAGGAGGGAGAGGTTAGTGAATTTATTTCATCCAACAGATATTTCTTTTGAGAACATGAAGACTAGCGTGAGAAACAAGATAGTGATACTGAAAGATTACGTGAAGGGTTTTACTAAACAGTCAGATCTAATGATAGTTTCAAACCCCGTGGAACTCAAGGTTAAGCCCAGATCATCGGAGACTCTGGTGAAGAATCTTTACATGCTGTGACCCTTACATGGGGATTCTCAGTCTTTGTCTCTGCGGCTTCTGGTGCAGTTGGCCAACTCGTGGGTCACTTTGCAGAGTTGATGGGCTTCTATGTTGTTGGAAGTGCCGGAAGTAAACAAAAGGTCAGGCATTGATTCTTAAACTTATCTATCAAAAGACTTAAAATCTTTCTGCTTTCTCTTACAATTTTTTGGTTTCCCCTCAAGGTCGACCTCTTGCTAAACAAATTTGGATTCGATGATGTATTTAATTACAAGGAAGAGACTGACTTTGATTCTGCCTTAAAGAGGTTTTTATTTGTTTGCTTATATTTCGGTTTCTTGAATCATAGAATTTGGTTTTTCTTATATAAGGATTGTAATTAGTCACCTTCGTATTATTCAGAAAATTGCATAAGAACTTCTTTTTCTCTGTTATCTAATAGTTACGTTAGCTCAATCTTAGCTGAGAATCTCTTCTACAACGCTAGATTCTTTGCTTGCGAGTACAAATCCGTGTTTAACAAACATTGATTCTGAGTTTTATCGAATACTAATAAAGAGGATCAATTCTTAGTTACCACTTTCATACTATACTAAGTTTATTTTAACAAAACCAGGTCGTTCATTTAAGAGGTTCTCCAATGTGTAGTGTACGTGTATTTTGCAATCAATAACCTGCTTTCGTATAATCCCTTCATTTTGGGATCTTTGTATTCTTACATTGAGAATGTCTACAAATACCGATAGCTAGGGCCAATATTAGATGAGTTAACAAAAGATTTCGGCAACACTGTGTTTTTGACTTTTTGTGTAGTCTTGCCTCGCTAAGATAATTATTTGTTTCTCTTCAGACTATGTTGTTCGACATTTTGTTAATCAATGGAGGTTGTTTCTCCTTATTCATTTTCTAATTAAGATAGTCTTTTTCATTTATTCCGCATGAAAATGTGTACAATACTACTCTGAATTGTGACCAAGGGAATTATGGGGAATAGTGAATTCCTCTTCACTCCTAAAAAATTACACCATTCATATGAAAAATCTATTACCAATAATGCCCTCTCATTTCTTCTTTGATAGGGAGTTATAGAGTAAAGTTATACTCTGCAAATATGATTAGGAATAAAAATTCCCCATATTTTCTTCTTCGTTATTCATTTCCTATTCATTCGTAATGTTCCTAATGGTGACCATTGTAGGAACAATATAAATGAAAAGGTAAGAAATGAGGAAGAAAATACAAAGAAATTTTATTCTTTCTCATATTTGATGAGGAATATTTTTACACTAGAATTCCCTAATCAAAAGGAATGAGAGAGGGAATAAACATTACTTGAAGAAGATTTAGGCATCACTTGTTCACTTGATCAATTGTAAACACAGAGACATATATAATTAATACCTACGAGTAAGGGAATTGAATTGATCTATCTATATAAATCTCATCATCACCAATTAACGCTACTTTAAAACAAGCATTAAACCCTAATAATTATCAAAGCCCTATAAAGCATAAAGCTTGGAGTGGGCCTATCAAAAATCTAATCGAGACAACCGACAAGAAAAAAAAAATTAAAAAAAACTCTAATCGAGACAAGACAAGATCTACAAGTAAGAAAAACCCTAGATCTTGAAGTTTTCCAGAACATGAGCATAATTATCCTTTAACTTCAAATTACAAAAAATTCAATCGTTGAGGGAAAAGGTAATGAAATTAACATTTAAACCAAAAAATGAAAGTACTGAAATTTATGGATCAAGAGAGATCCGATATACCAAATCAAACAAATCACATCACACAACTTTCAACACAAACATAAACGAAAACTCAACGTAAATCAGATCTGGACATTGGATCCTTTTCTCCTTTTCACCTCGGCCTCCGATTCCATTGGTGCTACACGGGAACTGATTCGTGTTCACAAGCCAACGATGGCAAAGCATGTCGTTGTGTCAGCCAATCAATTCCCGGGCTGCACCAAGCGAATCCGAGACCTCCATGAGTTTATCATCATCATCGTCTCTCTCTCTCTCTCTCTCTCTCTCTCTCTCTCTCTCTGAAAAGAAAAAGAAAAGAGAAACCAAAGAGACAGTTGACGGCTAAGATATTGTTCTCTATAAGAATTAGGGTTATTTGTTTATTACATTGGCCTCCTCAGGTGGGTATTTAAAGGAAATTACAGGCCACAAGATATCAACACGTGTCTCCTCTTATTTAGCTAAATTTGCCAAAGTCTTATCGTCCACGCATTCGTGTTTCTAGATCCGTCTGATTCCTTACTAGATTTGTCTGACTCCTTACCTAGATTTGAGGAGCAAAGGGATGTAAGTATCTGTTTCAGTAAAAATTGTTGTAGTAATTAAATATGGGAGTGACATTCTGAGTGAAGGAAATTTAAACAAAAAATACATTGGTGTGGTATAATTGACTTTAAAAAAAAAATGTAAG